GGCCTTACATACATGTTAGGATCCTCTGTTTATAGCAGCATAACTATTCCCATAGCAACAGTCTTTGATGTGCCCCGGACTGAGTCTGCAGCCTTCCGGGGAGTGGAAACAGGGTTTTTGTTGGAAATGAGTTACCTAACATGAAAGAAGCTGTGGATCTGGGCCCAGGCATCTGCCAAAGTGACGCAGTTGAGAAATATCCGAGGAGGAAGATGAGAACTGGCTCTTGTTCTTGTGATGCAGCCCAGAGTGTCCTGCAATCAACCAAGAAAAGACTCCTGCATGTACACACAAATCATAGCATCAGTGCCTTAACTTCTGCTTGTGGTACCATCCAGGACTACCGTCCTAGTGCAGCAGAATTGTATCTGTGTTGTCGCTTCCCATTTGATTTATGGACCCTCTGAGCATCCCTAATGTGAGCCCCTCTCTCTGAGCTGGGAAAAGGCCCTGGAGTGAAAGCAGAAAGACTTCTTCAGGTTTTAGTGACACTGCATTCCCTCTTCTCCATTCGGGAGCAGTGCCTCCAGTGCAGAGCTAGGGCTCTTAGTCACAGGGAAGTGGAGGTGTAGGGGCGGAAGCTTGGGACGCATGGACTGAATTTTCCCTCCTCCAGGGTGGGGTGGGTTACTGGTGGAGCCTGGTGGGGAAAGTACATGAAGCAACCTGTCCCCTCTGCAGTATCGTTGTAGCTGTATTGGGGCCCAGGCTATCAGAGACAAGGTGGTGAGAGCTTCCAGAGGACCAACTATCGCTGGGTAGAGAGCCATGAGGGAAGGAGGTTTAGCTTAAGCAGTTACCGCTCACGCTCATCCGAGGAAGCGGGTTTTGCCCCCGAAAGCCCACACCCCCTCTCTCCTTGCGGCGGGCTCCCGACGCGTGCGTGACCCCGAGGGGCGCCTCAGCCCTGACACGTGGGACAGCCCAGTCCTGCTCGGCGCTGCCCCCCGCCAGGCCGCGTCTACACGGGCACGCGCACCCCGTTTTAGTCACCCCGAGGCCCGCGCACACTCCTTACGCTCTAACATCTAACCCCCCCCCCTGTTTCCCCCCCCGCTGTGCCGCGAGAGCGGCGCTTCAGGGACTCCTACACAGCACGCGCCCCCCGCGCGCGGCGACTCTCGGGAGCAGGTCTCGCGCGCTAGGACGCTACAAGGAACCGCGCAGCCTCCCACGCTGCTCGTTGCTATGGCGATCTACTACGCGCCTCCCCCCCTTCCGCCGTGCGTGGTTCCGCCCCTCCTCAATGACGCACCTACGCCTGTGCGTGGGGATTCCACCGGATTACCCAACCTACCCCTCGGCAAAATGGTGGCCTGAACCGAGCGTGTGGGGCCGGGCCGAGCGGGGGCAAAGTTTGGGGCGGGCCCGAGACAGAACCGAACCGGGTCAGAACCGGCTGTAAAGTCCCCGGGAGGCCGGGAGGAGCGGAACCCGATTGGTTCAGAGCCGGACCGGGACCCCGGGGGGGTTGAGGGAGCCCAGCCAGGTCAGAACCGAGCCGGGGGCGGGAAGGGGGCCGGCCCCGATCCTGGCCCCGAGTTCCCAGGTCCCAGTTGGGTCAGAGCTGGTCTGGGGTAGGGTCCGGCCAGGCCAGAGCTGCGCCCGCCCACAGAGCGCCCCGTCCGATCCAGAACCGAACCGGGACCCGCGAGCAAGGGAGGCAGTTCGGCTCTGCCCTGGCTTGTGGCCCTGGCGCCAAAGGGGAGGGAAACGCTCAGAACTAGCTGTGAAGTCACATTGCTGCTGAGCGGAGCTGGGCCCAGCAGAATCAGAACAGCACTGGGGACGTGAGCCAAGGGAGGAAAACTATCAAAGCCAGAGAATCATCCTGGGCTGCAGGGACCGGGACAGGCCAGAACTGAATTGGGGCAGAAGAGGTGCCTGGGTCTGGAACTGAGCCAGTTTAAACCCAGGGGAGTCAATAAGAACTGATCCCAGAACTGAACTGTTTGCGCTTATGGCCAAAGACATCTAAACTAAGTTTGAACAGAACCAGATCCTTATTGAGTGAAAGTCCGGGGAGTACATACGTTTAGGAGTGAGTCAGTGATAGCCACAACTTTCAAATTGGAAAATAAGTGAAGCAAATCTGACACAGTTTGTGTAATCAAGACCCAAACTGTGTTGAAGAAGTCAGAGTGAGGAAAGGGAACAAACACTGTGCTGGGGAGGAGAAAGGATTCTTTACCAAACTAGAGTTTCTTTCCTCCCCCCCCCCCCTTCCCCAGTACCAGGCAGCATCAAAGAGACTTTCTGCAAGGAAGCCAGTGAATCTGAACAGATCCTAAGAACAAGGAAGGTTTAGAGATCAATAGAGCTGAGCAAGTGATACTGAACCACATCTGGATCTGGGCTAGAGCTTGACCGGGTGAATGGGAGACAATGAAGTATGAAAGAAGTGAAAGGCTGAGGACTGGCACTTGGATTTGTAAATGGGAGAGAGAAAAAAAATCTTTCCAAATAAAATTGCATTAATAGGCAAAAGGTTGAACGAGAGCTACACATTTCTCTGGGCTGGGGATGGATCAGGTCTGAGAGAGGCCAGCTGGAATGAGCCTACTGAAAAGATAGCCTGACAAAATGAGACTGCTTCTTGCCTGACAGGGCTTCTCAGTCAAAGCTGCAGATCTGTATTTTGCAGAATCAGTCCAGAGACATCTGATGTAAAGGGACTGCACGGAAGGAGAAAGTGAATCCATTGGCTACAAACGTCAGAGAGCAGGTAAGGAAGCCAGGAATGAGATGATGCTCCACCCAAAGTGTTTAAATTCCTGAAAAATGTGAGAGGCATGTAACTAGCAAATGAGCCATCTGTGGGTCCTGCATGCCCAGGTATTCTCTTTGTTACATTAGATCCATATTATATAAATCAGACCCAGTGTGAGAGGGTAGACTTGAGAGATGGTAACTGCAGGGTGCTAATACAAGAGAGAAGGAGTTTTGGGTTGAATTCAAGATCAGAAACTAAACAGCCAAGGCAGTGTCAGTGCTTTTTGTGCCCCATGAAAGGAGCACTTTAAAGCCCTGTCTCTGTGCTGAAGCAGCTGTGTGTATATCTCTTGAAATGAGTCAGTATGAACTGGTTACAGGCAGATCCAGGGTGTGCTGGAGCTATCCCTGCCTTATTTAAAAAATCTGCCTCATTGGGGCTGCACAACACACTTTCTCAGGATTACTCTGATGACTGTTCTGTGCTTAAATGTAAAGCAGCCTAGCACATCTATGAGTGATGTAGTTCTCGTCCAAATGTAGATGCAGCTTAGTCGATGGAATAATGCCTTCTGTCAGTGCAGGAACTGTCTGCACTAAGGCACTATAGTGGCACAGCTACTGCTGTGCTGTATAGCACCTGTAGTGCAGATGTGGCTTATTGTGAGAACTGTGGTGTATCATATTGGGTAATTTCATTAAATTCCTTCTCGTAAGTCATCAATTTCATCTGTGCATTAGGTGATTCCCTGATGCCAAGGCAAGTGCACTTCTGGGCCTGCCCGCAGCTGGATGAGGAATGTATGGAGACCAAGTTGAAAGGATGGATTGTTCAGTGTTTATATAGTAACATCAAGAGTGGATGTTACTGCTGGAACCAGTTCCCTCTGTATCAAAGATGGCATTGCAATTTTCTACTGACTGTTCTAAGTAGCTGTGGTCCTCTGCAAGTTGCTTGTTTTTCAGTTTTCAATCCCTGAATTCTTCTCTTTTCGCTCTTACTGAATAGCACTTGGATGGCACAGAATGTAAAAAGGCCAAGGAATTTGGGACGGGTGTATTCCTCATTGAGGGTCTGCCTCTCATGCTCATGGTGGGTTACTGATGTAGCACACTTTGGCATTGTGGTGGGTACCCTCTGGAGAATGCATGGTATCAGGAGTTGCACATAATATAGTATTAGTGCTGTTGGCCTTGCCTTATGGGCACTTTTAAGGGGTGAGAAAAGACGTTCTGCTCAATAATGGCAGAATAAATGGGACAGACTAAAACTATGATTGTGTGTTACCCAGTAACTAGCAAATCACGGGCTTCTTAATTTGTGCATGCCGAACTTACTACACATACTAGGGGCTTCTTGCATCTCTCCTTTTCCTCCCACAAGCTCTTTGTGTGCCACATTCCTGTTGCCTCTACTCCAGGGACACTCTGCAAAGCCCTCAGCTCCTTCTTCAAGCTTACAGCTGTTAGTGACCCACATTTTCCCCTTATCCCCACAGGAGGTGCTTTATAACCATGTGCCAAGGTCTCCCAATCTCCCCCCATTCTCATGTGCCCCCTGCACCTCTCCCCCCAGGGTCCACCAGTCTCTCCCTGCCCTGTGTTCTGTGAGCTCCATTTCTCCCTCTCTCATATCAGTGATCCCAGTTTTCTTCTGAAATCAGAAGCCCTGTGGGCATCCCCATTTCCCACTACCCCTTTTCCCACACCGTTTTTTTTCTATCAAATGTCATTGATAGCGATAATATGTAAAACTATTGAAGCTATTGGCAGATATGAAATAAGAATATTGTTATGTATTAATGGGTGCCATCAACCAGTAATTTGATCTGTAGACAGTTGCAGAGGTGCTTGCAGGTGTGGCTGTGCTAGTCAGATGTTATGGGCTTCATGTGTGTTCCATTGTACCCCTTTTGGTCTTCCGATTTTATCCACATTTAGTAGGTTTCTGGGCGTTGATACCTAGAATATTCCTTGAAATATTGGAGTTGATCAGATGCAACCTTCAAAAGTTATTGCATTACAGATAGACAGGAAAATCTTTAAGTATAAGGCCTTCACAAGCTAGGCTAAAGATACCTCCATTCAAAATAGTGCTTGATTGCCCTGGAGACTGATATTGTGTATCAGGAGGTATAGCCTGGGTAACAGCAGATGGGCTCCCCATCTTGCTAATATATCTTACTCATTTTTAGATAGTGGGCATTTAAAATTGTTGTAGGGGCTCCATTTGTTGCCACACTTCAGACATTGCTACATGTAGTAGGGCAGAAGCACAGCCAGTCTGTGTATTGCTTCCTTATAAGCACAGGGCTGACACTCTGAGTGTATGACAAGATTTGTCTAATACTGGTCCAATTCCCTCTGCCATAAGCTGCTGTACTATGTGCAGGAGACCCACAGGCACAGTCACTTCTTAGGCTGGGGTCTAGGGAATGAAGGAAAGGTAGGATGCCCACTACAAGAAGGGGGATGTATCCTGTAGTCTTGTTAGCAGGACTGAGGCTGGCAGGAGCTGAAATTGTCATGGGGGAGCAGATATGGTTTTCTTTAGCTACTAGACTAATTAATAAAGAAAAACTGACTTTCCTTAATGCTAATGACCCTTAATGATTAGAAAGTGTTTTGTGAATTCTCTTCAGATAAAATGCCTGAACAGGACAGTTCAGTCTGTCACCCTTTTGATCCTTGGCCTCTATTCAGACTATTAGCTAGGGTTCAGTTAGTGCCAAGTATGTTGTGTTCACTAAGAATGGGAGTGAACTTAGCCCCTTCCTAAACTGATAGCATTCAGAGACCAGTAAAGACTTGTGAATGTAGATTTCTGCCAGTCCCCCAGCATAAAATCTGCTCTTTTATCCAAGATAGATCTGTAACTGAATTGGAGAAATATAACTTTTCTCAGGTAAAGTGTCTTTATGGCCTGGTTTGAGAGGAAGGACAATCTTGTGGTCAGTGCATTGGTCTAGGTCTCTAGGACACAGGTGAACTGCATTCTGTTTTTGGCTCTGCATAGACTTAGTGTGAGTCACTGCTCCCCTCCCCTCGATTTGCCTTCCTTCCTCATTAACATATAGGACTAATACTACCTCACTGGGGAGCTGAGGATTCCTTCAATAGTGTCTTTGAGGTGCTCAGATATTTTGGAGATGAACTCCACAGAAATACCTACAAATAAATAAATACACTAAAGTGTGACTTGCCTGTTGCTCATAATGAAGGAGGAACTCGTGTGGTCCACTGTCTTTCACAGTCTATGGAATAATGAAATTGCTGTAAAACAGGGCAACAATTAAAGGAGGAGGGCATTCCAAGAAAATTCCTAGTCTCTGGACTGTACATTTTTTCCACTTTTTACATGCTCTCTTTTATGGTTGTGTCTTTACACGTGGCTCATATTTCCCTCTTTTTATCTCCTCCTCTCTTTCAGATCAGGAAACCATTCTCTTGTTTGCTAGCATGTCAGTGTACTGTCTTATTGCTAATGTGCTCAGACAGGGATGCCCCAGAAGCAGCATCTCAGTCTGTCTTGTGTCTGAAATGACATGATACACTCTGGAATGTCCTACTGAAAGCTGTGGTTACTGGATCACTAAGGATTTCCAAATGGCTGTGAAGACTATTTTCTTCCACTATTTGATCTGAGGAAGTGGGTCTGGCCCACGAAAGCTCATCATCTAATAAACCATCTTGTTAGTCTTTAAAGTGCTACATTGTCCTGCATTTTGCCTCAGAGGGATGTGAGTCCCATAATGCCTGAATGGGAATAAAGAGTTAATTGGAATGCTTTATTCATATGACTTGCATCAGCTCTGTATTTCTGGCCTGGCACAGTGCTACTTGCTGAGTCCTGGAAGGACTTCGTATGAGAAGCTAAAGTTCCTGACTATATTTTTCAGACAAATGAATGAAATTCAGTGATGTTGATGAGCAACAAATGTAATGTTGGTTTAAAAATACTTTCACGTGATGTATAATTAATTTGTGGAACTCACTAGCAATTAATAGGATTGGGGCAAAGAGTTAACTGAGATTCAGAATAGGTCTGACAGTTAAATGAATGAGAGGATCCAGAGATTTACTTTTCTTATTATATAATAAAATATGTATTTTAGAAGGGATTATCATCCTTATGCTTCAGCACATAAACCCACTCTAACTACTGAGAGTTAGGAAGAAAATGGTTATTCCATAACTGTTGACTAGGATTTTCTTGCACCTCCTTCTGAAGCATCTGGTACTGGGCAGTGTCAGAGACAGTGTCCTGACCCAAATGGACCCCATATCTGATCCATCCTGACAGTTCTTCAAGTACAGTATATCTTTGCCCTATCAGATTGCCTGTTAAATCTTCCTCTTGATGATCAATGCCCTTAAAGATCACTCTTTGTGGTCCTAACATTTTAGGGGTTTAGAGGGTCATGAAGGGGGGAAATCTTGAGGATTAGTGCAGTCTTGTTTTCTCTTATACATGATTGGGTCCTCACTTGCCTTGTGGGTATGGCCTCCTTACTCCTGGTTATTAGGGGACACCATCACTCTGTGCTTCTTTCAGCTGCTGCTAGAAGGAAAAGGAATGTGTGGAGTTTGGCCCCTCCACGTTTCAAGCTTATAGTGAACTTTAGTCTGAGAGGTGCTTGCTGGAAGCCTTGCTGGCTGGGGGATGGAACTCTTCTAAGGACATTCTAGTGAAATCTGGTATGTTTGTGTGCCAGCTAAAGCCTCTTGTGCTGCAAGACTTTTCCATCATCCCATTAGCCACCTCCGTCACTGCTGAGGACCTAGAGGTGGTTGGATGCTGCCTGTTCATGTGGTCATGCAGACTGAATCGAGAAGGAGGGATGGACTAATAAGGCGCAAGGTCCTTGTAAGTGATTGTGGAGGGGAAGTGTGTGTAAGAGGGCATTTGGTAACAGTGTATGTTGGAGTGTGTCAGTTACAAGGGCCATGGCAAAATGGATGAATTTTCAGAACTGGGGATGGATTCTAGCTATGAGATCTGTGTACACAGTC